ATGAGTGCCAGGGTACGGTGCTGGGAGGAAAACCACTCAGGCTCAGTTTCGCTGTAGCAAAAAGGTAAGATAGAAACAATTATAAATTGTGAGTGAACAAAAAGAGTGCTAGTTGTAATATGAAGGGAAGAATCTGAAGTTCTAAAATCAATCACTTCTCTTGAAGCTTTTGATACTAAAATTAACCAGAATGAACGGTTTACTTCCTGCTGTGCTGCTTGGGTGTCAAGCATATACATTAGAATATTTTAAAGTTTTAAATGTACTTGCAGTGTGTATTTTGCAACTAAAAACGGGAAAAATACTAGCGTTGGATGCAAACTAAGTACTTACTAAACAGATATTCAAATTTTGTTAGGACTTCCAAAAATGATTAGTGCATCTCATGTACCATCATTTATAACTATACCCAGGGCTTAAAGCGCTCCGGCCGGATTTCCGGCTTGGAGACAGCCCGCCGGTCCGCCTCAACTTAACTTTGGTTGATAGACAGGGATTATATCCAATCACATTGAAGCTCACGTTGTCTTGACCAATTATTAACAGGAAGGCGGGTCTTAGAAAAGCAAGCATGACGCCTCTGTGTGGCATGCTATCTTAGCGCTTCGTTAGTGCCGGCAGTTGTCAACCAGGGTGGGAGAATTAGGATGCTCGAGGTGAGCAGAACGTGCTCTATTCACACAAGGAGAGCTGTTGGTCAGGCTACTTCTTGTTGCTCTCTAAAATAGTTATTGAATCAAGTTACTTATGTAGGTAAACATAGATGATTAATCCCTTAAAATACACCAGAATACATGAAATGGCATCTACTTTATTCAGAAATTTCTGGGGGAGGACCCCCCCCCCCCACCATTGTGCCTGCCCCCCACCCCTGTGTTCACAAAAACTTTTTCACTGCACAGAACATCTTTGTGTTGATGTTGGAAATGACTCCAGCTCCTACTCTGAAAGTTATTTAGAAGGCTGGGAGTCCTAAAACCAGCTCTGTGGAACTTCCTTTTAGATTGTGATATTGCGTATTCTAAATTTATTGCGAATTAATTGACTGAAATGTGTCTGTTCAATGTGGTGTTGAGTTTTTTTGAGGGTTTTTTTGCTGCAGGGCAGTGCTCTGAGGTACATGTTTTACGTTGTTTAAGTTCAAATATATTGAAACTTCATTTAAGTCATTGTTACTTGAAGCTGAATTGTTTGTTGTTAAAAGCAGTTGTCTGCATTTTTCAGAGAGCACTTTTAATAAACATTGGCAATATGTCATTTTATTCTATCAACACCACAAAAAAAGTTTCAGGCTCAGGATTTTTTTCACTTTAAGCCCTGCTATACCACACATTTTAGATCTGTCTATACCCTTCTGAATATATTTACTAAAACTAAAAATAGAATATAAGAATAAAATATATACTTAATATAATTTAAAACTACAAATGACTACTGACATTTCTGTCTGGATGACTCAGAGGGAGTAAATGCTCTTGGTTTTCAACTACAGTTCCCCTCACATTTATAAAACTTTGCTTCATTTATTGTTTTGCAGCCAGAAAACCCCCAGCTACCCAGGGGTCCAGGGCCAGAGTTACCATAACAACTACAATCAGACACCGTCCAATTATTACGGCAGTCAGGGGGGTTATTACTCTCAGTGGGGCGGCTATGACCAGTACAGTGGCTACAACAGCGGCGCCTATGGGAGTGGATACAACAGTGGCTACAACAGCTACAACAGTGGCTACGGCTATAATTATGGGCCCTATGGATACCCCCCATCAGGCCACATGGTGCCACCGCCTCCCATGGGGATGCCACCGATGACCGCCAACATGACAGGAGCTGTAGCGGTAAGATCTGTGAAGCTCTGATTAAAAGTGTGGAGAACTTTCTCCTTCAGTAACTCTTGTGTTTCTCCTGCAGACCCAAGAGCAGACTGAAGATGACGAGGACGATGACGAAGAAGGTGAAACCTTGTTTACACTGGAATCGTTTTTATAATCAGAGTGAATTCTGTTGACTGAAAAATCATTGATTTTTCTAAACAAATCTGGAAAAAAAAATCCCTGTAAAATATAAATGTTTTAATCTGTACTGGTGTAATTTGGTGCTCTGATTTATTTCAGTGTGAAATTGAGTAATGAGGAGGCAGATGTGGCTTTAAGCTGAATCTGATGTTAGAGGGGTTCTTCATTTGATTACTCTTTTTGCTGTTAACACGATAGAAGTGCTGTGAACTAATGATGTTTTTAAATCTGTGTTTGGTGACATTTACCAGAACCCATCCCTGAATGTGACGTGGAGCTGTGGAACAAAGAATTTATGCAGCGAAGTGAAGAGCTTTACGATGCAATGACTAACTCCCACTGGGAGCCGCTGGACTCTGTCGACTCCCCCATCCCCACTTCCTCTTGATGTTTTTCTCCACTTTCCCCCAACCACCATGCTTTTTAAAAATAAATAAATAAATAAATTTAAAACAAAGTTTTTATACTTCCAAAATATACCACCATATTGACACCTTATAAATGTCAGCAGGAGTTTAATGCCTCTATATTAGCTGTAAGTATAGAAATACTTGTTCCGCTGCAGATACTGCATAGACGTTCACTGTCTTGTCTTGTTTATCATGATGGTAACAAACAGGAAGTTAGTCATTGCTCAGTGCAGTTAGTCTGGATTAGATAGTCTCTGATACATCAGAACCACCTGTAAGTGCTGATGCTGACTGTTGCATTTTACACGTAGCAATGAGGGACAAACAGTCCACGTCGTTTATCGTTCATCCATCTTGAAATTCATTCAGTCGTCGGAAAACAAATTAAACTATGCCTTTATTGTTGTTTGCCATTGTATTACCTGTTGATTTAGTGTGGTCATTAGGATTATTTTGTAGTTAAGAGCATTCATTCTTATAAGTTTTGTAGGCTGACCCCACTCTGTAAAACCAGTTTCTACTTTAGCCAATTCAAGCATTTAGAACGTTTGTGTTCATAATACTTTTATTATTATTTATTGTACAGGCCTACATATAAACTAAAAAATAAGTAGAGTCTCCTCTTAAAAACAGATTATAACTCAACATTTTTCACAGCATGAAAGTGCAATGTGTGTCTTCCTCAGTGTCTTCAAGCTTAAAATTGAGTGATTTCAATCGCCAACTGAATAATTGATGCCTCCCTGTTGTCTTTTTTTATTATTGAAGGACTTATAAGTGATGTTGAGTTTATCAAAATATAACCTGAAATGTTAACATTTTCATGTTGAGAAGTTTAATGTTAGTAAGTTATGTCCTCATCAGACGAATGGTGCGTCTCCTCAGACATTAGTTTTGTGGTCAGATGATTTGAAGGCATCCTTTATGTTCTGCTGTTCTATGACAGACATTTTGTATATATTTTCATTTCAGAGATGTTTTATCAATAAAACAGTTTCAAAGGAAAGTGGTCCAGGGAAGTACTGTCACTTTGTTTTTCCTAAGGGTGTTCAGTTCTTTAAAGTACAAATTCCACAGCTGAAGTATAACCAGTGCCACTACATGTCCAGTGCAGTTTTCTTTTAAGATTTGTTGACAGATAACAGTCCACAGACACGTATATAAAAATGCTTTAATGACAGGCAGCTCTTCAGTCAGTTATAGGTGCATATGGAAAATTAGATTGTCGTGAAAAAGTCTTAATATTTTTCTTGTTTTTGTTAATATCAATATGTAAAAATCAAATTTCATAGATTCATTATGCAAAGAGTAAAATATTTCAAGCCTTTGTAATTTTAATGCTTATGACTTAAATTAATGAAAAACCAACATGTCTGAAAGGTTCAATGTTGTAAACTGGTGTCACACCCTGATCAGCTGTTTCACTCCTGGACCTGAAGTTCTGCCACTCCTGTACTGGAGACATCATCACCCAATTATCGTCTTACCTGCTGACAAGACAAAGAAGTGGACTGTTGGTCAGTGGTTCTCTTTTCTGATGAAAGAAAATTTTCATGTCATTTATAAATCACGGTCCCAGAGTCTGGAGGAAGAGTAGAGAGGTCCAGAATCCACGTTGCTTCAAGTCCAGAGTGAAGTTTCCACAGTCAGTGATGGTTTGTGTCCATGTCCTCTGCTGGTGTTGGTCCACTGTGTTTTCTGAAGTCCACAGTCAACGCTGCATCTACCAGGACATTTTAGAGACTTCATGCTTCATACTGATGAGCTTTATGGAGATGCTGATTTAATTTTCCAGCAGGACTCAGCTCCAGTCCACACTGACACAGGTACCAAAAGCTGGCTGTGAAATATTGTAATTTTTGAGACGCTGAATTTCGACTTCATTATTTGCAAGCCATAATCATCAAATGTACATGAAATAAAGCCTTGAAATTTTCATTATGTACAGTATAATTAAGAGTTTTACTTTCTGGAAGTCAGTCTGAAACTTTGATTGACAGAAAATTTGAACTTTTTCACAATAGTCTTAATTTTTCTAACGCACCTGTATACTAAGGAGAAGCTCAATGAACACAACCAAGATGACAATCTCGCTTTTAATCTGATTAAATGCCTTCTAGATTATCACGAGGAAAACCTCATTCATAAAAGGCCAACTCTCCCAAAATATAATGCTACAGGACATTTATGTCCACACACACTGGTCTGTTGGGGTGTTTTTAAGACCACAGATTGGTCTTAGATTATGTTTACCCCTTCTTCCATTTTGGGTCACGGGGTTCACCGGTGCCCATATCCAGCAATCATTGTGTGAGGGGCGGGGTACACCCTAGACAGGTCTCCAGTCCATCACTGGGACACATAGAGACAAACGAGACAACCATTCACTCTCACACCTAGAGACAATTTAGAGTTACCAATCAGCCTAACATGCATGTTTTTGGTCTGTGGGAGGAAACCGGAGTGCCCGGAGTAAACCCAGCATGCACAGAGAGAACATGCAAACTCTACTCAGAAATGCCCCTGGACCGGGATTTGAACCAGGGACCTGCTCGCTGAGAGGCAGCAGCTCTACCAGTTACTACAGTCCACAAGTTAAAATAAGTCCTTCTTCAACCTGGTGCATACACAAATACAACTTAAGCTACACTTATTGAGTGTGCCTGTGAGGACATACAATAATGCTTGACTCATGTGCAGTAAAAAGAAAACTCCCAGTAGTGAAATCAAACCAAGGATAATACAAGGCACACGTCTAGATTTTCCTCTAATGAGCTGATTACTATGTTTCCTAGACAGTTTCAGGTTGAAATACTTTGGTTTGTGACAGATTCTTCTGTATATTTTGCAAAATAAAAATGACCAAGTTAACGGTCAAGTTAAATATCTGTATGTTTGCATGTTAAACCTGTAACCAGTGCACACATAGAATGGTAAATGGACTGTACTTATATAGCGCCTTTCTATCTTATTTCAAGATATTCAAAGCGCATTCAAGAAGCAGGTGGAATGGTAATAAAGTGTTTAAGGTAAATTTGTTTTTGGATCTTTATCCTTTTATATTTACTGATCTTAAAATGTTTTATGTAGAATATGAGTTAATAGAACCACGATTCAGTGAATACATTTTAGGTTTAAATCCATATCAAAATATTTTCACTTGAATTAAAAGAGTATTTTTTTTCTGTAAAAAGTATTTTAAGTATTTTTTTAATATTTATTTTCAAATTAAACTAACGATGGAGGTACATAAATAAACAGGATGTTTTTGAGTCCGTTTAGTTGTCCCATGTAAAAAAAAAAATCTTAGTTATGTGCAGCTAATGGTAGTGACTGTAGTTCACTGCATCTTCTGTCTCAGTGCTGCTGGTCTTTGTGTTAAGCAGTCCATGACCGGGCCTCCCAGGACAGTACCACCTGGGGCCCATACGATACCAGCCCTGATACAGTCCCCTCCAAACCAGACAGCCTAGAGCACCCCCCAACAGCTGGGTAGGAAAACGAGGGAAGTAAGCTAAGAGACAGAGTAGCAGAAAGATCCAGAGTCCAAGAAGCAGAACACAAAACAAAAAGAGGATCCTCAGAGGCGCATCAGAGATCCCACCAAGGCTGAGATAAGGGCCAAACACAGATGTTTCCTCCACCAGCAGCAGACAGCACAGACAGAGAAGGAAAACGTCTTCTGAAACCTCATAACCCCTCCACAGCATCCCGGCTTTCAGGCACTCAGACTTGCTCTCCCCGTCACGCAGGACCAGCAGAGGCTGCCTGTTGGTGACTTCTTGACCAGACTGTAAAGTTTCGTAGCAGCTTCCTGTGGCATTCTCCAGAAGATCCAGAAGTTTGCAACAACCTAGCCATAGTCCAACGGCCACTGCAAGCCTCGAGAGATGACGAAGGGACAGTGAGAGGGAACGACGGATGGAGAAGGAGAGGAGGAAAACGAAAGAACCAACAAAGATGCAGGTCCATCCCCAACCAGAGTGCAAGAACAACCTGGAAGAAAAAGAGGAAAAGTGTTAGACCAGAGGAGGAAAAAAAAGCTTTATTAGTTATATTGATTGTTGAACTTTATCTGGTAAACATCGAGACATCAACTAACACATTTAAATATTGTGAACCAACTCTAATGGCCCTAAAAGATATATAACTTTATTTTTTTCAGTAAATGTTATGTTAGGTTCAACATTTATTAGTTTTGGGAATTTTATTTCACATAGCAATGAATCTGTAGACATCAAAGAACACTATTGTCTATCTTTTTTTTTTTTCGGCTGTTCCCTTTTCAGGTTCACAGCAAGTCATCCTCCTCCATCTCACTCTGTCCGCACTCCAACTACCTCCATGTCCTCTCTAACTGCATCCATATATCTCCTCTTTGTCTTTTTCCGGGCAGCTGCATTTCTAACATCCTTCCACCAATATACCCACTGTCCCTCTGGATATGTTCAAACCATCACAGTCTTTATCTCCCAGTTGTTCAACCTGTGCTGTACCTCTGATGATCTCATTCCTAATCTTATCCATCCTTTTCATTCCTAAGGAGAACCTCAGCATCTTCATTTCTGCCACTTCCAGTTCTTTTTCCTGTCTTTTTGTCAGTGTCACTGTCCAAAGTATACAACAAAGATGGTCTCACAAGTCTTGTAAACTTTTCCTTCCACCTTTGCTGCCACCCTTTTGTTACAAATTTCTTCCGAAACTATTTTATCCTGCCTGGACTCTTTTCTTCACCTCTTTACCACATTCCTCATTTTTCTGGACAGTGAACCTCAAGTACTTGAAGTGCTGCACCTTTGTGACCTCTGCTCCTTGCAGCCTCACTGTTCCTCTGGCCTCCCTTTCATTCACACTAGAGCTGTCATTTCTAACCCGAACCCGGAGCCCGGCCCTACCCGGAATAGGGCTGAGCCGGTCCATAATAATGTGCTTAATGTGCAGGCCGGGTCAGTGTTGGGCTTTTGATTGCGCCTGCGGATGCACGCGGCTTACGATCCAATTATATGGCAACAGGGCTTGCCATATAATCACCAGCCGCATGTGGCCATTTGACCACACGCTGACCGGCCTTGAAAGAGGTAAAAAGTTCATTTAAGCTTCAGATGGACTACTGCCAACGATCCATCAGCCCAAATGGACGTTCATTCAGCCACTGCTCTCAGCGGACCCACGCAACCGACGACCCAAACGTGAGATCACAAACAACCCTACATGTCAGAGCAGGGTTCATTGCAGAAGCAGGGGAAGCATTTAATGCGCTTTGATGGCTCTTCAGCTCCGATCTTCTGCCCCCTTTACTCAGCCGTGCGCGTCCGCCGACCTTTAATAACTATATAAGCAGTCAAAGCTTAATTAATTAAAAATGCCGGGGGGGGGGGGGGGGGGGGGTGGGGGTTCACATCTGTAATTATTGTTAATCCATCAGATCGGGTGGGGTTCGGAAATGATGGCTACGGGCTGGGGCCGGTTCAGATTTTTTTTAACTCAAATGCAACTTTCATTCACACACGTACTCTGTCTTACTATAGCGGACTTTCCTCTTCTTTCAAGTACCTACCTCCACTTCTCATAGTTCTCTTCCACCTGCTCTCACCACAGATCACAGTGTCATTTGAAAACATCATAGTGCACAGGGATTCCTGCCTGACTTCATCTATTAAGGTTTTTCATACTACATCCGAAGCTGAAGAGTCGTCTCACGGCCATGTGGTTGTGTGACATTCGTTTTCGCACACACATAGTTCACAAGACACACAGTGCAGAGCTCCTGAAATTCACACCTCACCACCGCCCTGCTGTCCTCATGCATGTAGCAAAAATGCCACATGTATGAGGCTTAACTGAGTCAAAAACCTCACTGCCATCTCCTAGACGTTTCCATGGAACCACTGTATGTCATCAGACCCTACTGCTTTCCCTTCTTCATCTTCTTCACAGCTTTCTGAACTTCATTCTCACTAATCCTTCCCATTTCATGGTACAAAGTTTCTATGATAAATGGTAAATGGACTGTACTTATATAGCGCCTTTATGTCTGATCAACACAATCTGTGTCCTCATTTACCCATTCTACTAGATCTCTACAAAGTTAGTTGAACAAATAGACTAACTGGTGCTTTAGATCACATTCATTCACTGATGGGACACACATCAGAGGCAATGAGGGGTTCATTGTCTTGCCCAGGGACACTTCGGCATGTGACTGCTGGTGGATTCAAACCTCCAACTCTTGCATTGGAGGATGACTGTTCTAACCACTCAGCCACAGCCGCTCTACTCCTTTCCTTTCTTTCTCTTCATTCATTAGCAGAGAAGTGACTTTCACGAACGATCCGGATCTACTGAATGGCTCTTTACAATAAACGATAAGAACCGAGTTACAAATAGTAAAGAGTTGTTCCTAGTTTTATTTTTCCTCCTCATGCTTTCTTCGTTTTCCTTATCAAATGCAGAGACTATTGATCCTTCTTCGCTTTGCCACTGAGATGAAGGAGAACAAGCAATGGGGAGGAATGAAGCACCTCACGGGGATGGGGTTCCCACTTAACAAGACACATGGTATAGCTTTGATGACGTCACTGCTGTTCAAAATTGAATTGCTCTTTGAAGTGAACGGATCGTTAGTATCCAAATCCCTTCAAAGAGCCCATCTCAATTCATTAGCTCCCCTAAGTACTCCCTTCATCTTCCCGTCACGGTCTCCTCACTTATTAGAACATTAACATTTGTACAGTATCTTTAACAAGCCTAACCTGCTGCACATCCTTTCCAGCCTGATCCCTCTGTCCAGATGACACACAAACTACCTTTCTGCCTGTCTCTCTAATGACTGTTGTGCACTATAGTCAATATATTAATGGAAAAATATAAAAAAAGATGCAAAAATGTGGTCTTTCAGAGTGATGAATCTCTCCTTATTTTTATTTCTAACAAACTTGCTTATCAATGTTTCTGACCTGTTAGAAATTAACCTAATTATGAAAGAGATGTTCACTCAATGGACGACCCAGAGGAAAAAAAAAGTCCCTGTCCCAAATTCAGCTGGATAATTCTTCAGATGCTCCAGTTTCCTTCCACAGTCCAAAGATATATTTTTAGCTTGAGGAGTGATTTTAAATTCAACCAATTGGATCTAAGCAGATGAAGGTAAACAGGAAGTGGTCTTACCTGTAAAGGAAGTGACTTCTCTTGGCAAATACACTGTGATGAGATACCCATAGACTTAGTGCAGGGCCGAACATCACCACTGCAGACAACAGCAGGTGAAAATGCTGCCGACACAGACTGTTACCCAACAACTTGGCTGCCAAGTCTGTCAGGACCACCAGCATTGTGTTGAAAAACATTTGAATCCACATCTAATGCTCTGAACAGGCCTAAACTATTAAAGGAAAGTTACTTATAGAAATCAACAGTGTTATTAGTGCAGATTATCCACCTCAAAGCCAACAATATGTACAACTGATAAAGTTGTAATCCACAGTAAAATTTCATAAAACCATAACCAAACGACAGAGTAAACAAGAACAAAGAAATAAATCAGTTTGCTTCAGTCTATACAAGCAAAGTCTGTAGTCTGACAATCAGATCCTTTGATGGTAAATCCTGCAGAAATTCAGAGCTGCTGGCTGTGCATTAAAAATAGTAGAAATCCTCAGATGTTAGCAGTGAAGTTTCTTTCTCCATGTGTGGGGCGTGTGCTGCATAATGTGAATACGGTGGCAACTGGCTTCTAGCATTCCACATACTCCAAATGCGTGCACGCTGTGAAATCCAGCCCTGAAACGCTTCAGCCCAGCAGGCTCCAGTGCTGACTCAGAATGGTTCAACTCATCTGCCCGTTTTGTTTCTGTGAAGGTTTCTCTTGATTCACATCTTTACCCCATTCTGTTTGCTTCCACTGAAGCTCACTGTTCACCGCTGTTACACACTGAGACATCAAACTATGTAGTTCAAGAACACTCTTCTATTTCTATTGTAACTTTAGCCTCTCAGCTTTTCTGTGACAATGGCTCATCAACATAAATTTTTACAGCATGTTCTCACTTTATCATATGTCTCCTGATCCTTCATGGTGAGGTGGCCAAATGTTGGACTTTATGACAGTAACTGGACAACTTCTGAAAAGCTTAATCATGCACAGCAGGGTAAGCAACAAAACAAAAATAAAAAGAGCAGTCTCATCAGTTAAATGCATGGTGTCTCATTGTGTATGTGTGTTCATGTGTATTATTAGCAGCAACCTTTGCACTAAATGAAACTCAGCTGTTGCAACAGCTTGTTTCTGTCAATCACTAAACGGCAACACAGGCATAAACATACAGTTTTTGACCTTTTCTCTCCTGCTTTGCTCCAATTTTGATACCAGTAATTTAGTTTAAGTGACTTTAATTAACAAAGACCATCGTCTCAACTATTACCACCTTTAACAAGTTTTTGCAAATACTTTTGCAGACCTGTAGTTGGTTTGGGCGCCTCTGTCAGAACTAAATGTTTAAGGCTAATGTGTGGAGGTGAACTTTAAAAATGAAACTACAGTTTGCTTGAATAAAGAGAGCAGACCTCCAAGTTATTAATGTAAATAGCATATCAATATCTTTAACACAATGAGTAAAGTCCTTATGCGTAATCTTTTTTTGAGTAACATGAAAGGAAAAGAAGGAAAAGTGTGCAAAATTATATATATATGAATATGATATGCTATTTACATTAGTAACTTGGCGGTCTGCTCTCTTTATTCAGGCAAACTG